ATTGTGTCTGGGGCTACTAATATTTAAAATACTTTAGGTGTGATGGGGAAAACACTGTGATAACTTGCTGATCATGTGAGAAATGTTTTGACTGTCTCCGTATCTACTCATTAGTCCTCTTCCCCCAAACAAGCTTACAACATTCCAGGCTTCTGAGCAGCTTCAAAAGAACTATCTTAAAAAAAAGAGAGCCTAATAATGTGGAATTTCACCATAAAAACTATACAGGCTTGAGGCCTTTGCAAGGAAATATATAGTCCTGGACCAGTGACAGCCCTGGGATCTGCTATAGTAGGATCCTGGAGACCTATAAACAGGAGCATTGTACATAACCACTGGAAAAGGAAAGGTCCCTGCTTTCCAATGAAACAGTACATGCTTCTAGCCCTGCAAGAACCCAGGAGATCAGAATGTAAAACCATGACATTTATATATATACAGAAAGCCTATGGTAGGTTATTTTTAAACTTTTGTTGTTGTTGTTATGGCTCTCTCTGTGTTCTGAATGCTTGGGCTGAGAATGAAGGTACCTGACCCTACAGTTGGAGAAAAAATGCAAAGTCCCAATCATGTTTTTAAACTCTCTAAAACATGTCTTTTCTGTAACAGACGTGGCATATATAGAATGTATGGATGTGTCGAGTGGTGTTGCTTTGGGCTGAGTGCATAACTTGTGACTTTGCTTCGCATATGTAACATGGCCATCCAATCACTGACTGATAAAATCCTTATACCACACTGCACCAATCTGTAGCCGTGTACAGGGTAGAATTTCAAAAACACCTATGTAGCTTAGGAGCATAAGTCCCTTTGGGGGTCACAAAGTCTTGTGCTTTTTAAATCACTTAGGCACTCTTGAAAATCCTAACTGTAGTGTTTTTCTCCATCTTTCCCATGTGTTGTAACAATGTGTGTGTTATATACAGTAGAGCCAAATTCACCACTGAAATAGGCATATCTCTCTCAGCCACCACCACCACTGTCCCCAGTACACCTTTGTTTAGAAGGGTTTTTTCCACAGCCAGGGCCGGCTCCAGGCACCAGCTTAACAAGCAGGTGCTTGGGGCGGCCAAGGGAGAGGGGAGGCACCTGCGGCAATTCGGGGGCGGCAGGTCCTCACTCCCTCTAGGAGCGAAGGACCTGCCGCTGAACTGCCGCCGCCGATTGCAGCTTTTTTTTTTTTTTTGCTTGGGGCGGCAGAAATGCTGGAGCCGGCCCTGTCCACAGCAGGAGTGGAAAGTCTGCAGTCACTTGCATTGCTTTGCATATGGGCTTGTGTTGCAGACACAGAGTGCCCGAGGCAAAGCAACAGCGAAGGTTCGTGGCCCGGTGTGCTTCGCGCCAATAAACACACCAGGTGGAGAAGCAAGCAAAGTTTATTTGAGATCTCAAAGCGGTGCAAGGAGACTGGCACGTCTCAAATCAAGCACACCAACAGAAACAGCTTTTTCTTCCTTTATACCTTTACAGTCAAGCCTCACCACCCCCTTCCCCCGCTACCCCTCCCTTCCCTCCCCTCCATTCCTCTCTCTTCACCCCTCCCGTCCCTGGTAACAATTACTAAGCAAATAACGATTACATTTAAGCAGTTAAGTCATTCTTGGCAGCTATAAGCCTAGCTTGTTAGTAACTTCTTTAAACCGTTATCTTGTCCTTTTTCCCTTCAGCCAGAAACATGCAGGCCTCATTATTACCGCTTGAGCAGGGGGTTGCACACAGATAACTGGTTGCTTACATATTCCAATTGCACCTGGCTTTTGAGGTCGATTAGAGTTTAAACATGGAAGGAGTTTGGTTCAGGCCTAGTGCAGGAAGGCTTCATTGACACTTGTGATTTTCCACCCTCCTGAGTTACCTGGGGTGATGGTGATGCCTGGTGACGTCAACACTTGGAAGGAAGACCTCCGACCCGCCTCTCTCTCTAACCCCACCCCAAACTTGTGGGTCTGGATTCCCCCACAGAACCTATGAAGGGGTTTGTGCAGTGTCTGGGGAAAGGTGCATGTGCCACTAGGGTTCCTGGTGAAGTGAAGCATGTTCCCCCTTTCCTACAATAAATGAATCTGTGACATATGGAGGGTGATGTTGGTTTGTACTATGCCTAAAATTCTTAAGGAGTTCTGGAGTCACTACTTAGGGTGGCCAGGTTTAAGTGATTGTGAGAATCGGCCTTGGTCCCGCAGTTATTTTATTTATTTTATTTGCCTAACATGGAGATTCTTGGGATTGCTGCATGGACTCTTGAGGACAACCAGCTGTTTGTGACAAAAGCCTCGTTCATATGCGATCTTGATGGACAGGTTTTTTTGTTTGTTTTTTTGTTTTGCTTAAACTTTCATGAACCTTCTTTTCTGCTGACATGGATGTAGCGGTGGCTTTTAACAGCTTTCCGTCCACACTCATGTTGCTTTTAAGTTTTTAATTATTTATTTAAAGCAAAGCTAAAATGAAAAGCGTTCAATGCTTCTGCTTTTTGAGTTGACATCAGCTTTGCTTCATGTGAAAAGCTGTTACATCCTGTGTCTGTGCCAACAGCTTCATTTGAAATGTAGCATTTTTGCTCTTTCTGTAGATTATGGAAGGGTGCAGCTGATGGTTGTTCACCTGTGGTGTGGAATTCCAAACTACCACGTAGAGTTGAGTTGTTCTTTCTCTTTTCAGAGCAAGGTACTCTTTAAATATGTATTAACTGTGATCATTATGATTACAAAGTACTAAATATGTAGGACAATGTGCAGTATGACTTTTTTTTAACATGCAGGAATCTTTTCACAAGTTGCAGTTAATGTCATTACAATTCATTATTGAGTTAAAGGAGACATGAGTTCCTCTCCTCCAACTGCATCCTTGACTGTTTAGCTAAATGTGTGTATATTATATGTGTGTTTGTACAGCACCTAGAACAGCGGGTTCCTAGGCACTATGGAAATATAAATAATGATAATAATATATAGTTCTTGCTACCATACTGTCTGAGCACCTTACAGTTGTTAATGGATTTTATCCTCACATCCCTGCCCTCCCCCCTCGTGTGAAGTATCTCAGGTTTTGAGCTGAGACAACGGGTAGATTACATGACTTGACCCCAATCACACAGGAAATGTGGTTGAGCCAGGAATTGAACCCAGGTTTCCTGAATCCCACTCTAACAATACATTTATTAGACTATACTAGTTTCTGCCCTACCCACTCAGTGAAATTTTGACTGACTTTTTACTGGCCAAAATGCCAGAGCCCTTATTTTCTTTCTCCTTGAACTCTTGGTGGCCTCTGACACCAGCGACCACTCCCCTACTTTTTGAAATATTGCACTCCGTTGACTTTTGAGGCTCTTGCCGCTTACTGGTCTCTTTCTACTCCTCTAATTTGCTTTCAAAATCTCTTTTGATGGGTTCTTTTCTTCACCCTCTCCCTTTGTCGATAGGCCTCTCCAAAAAGCTCTGTGCTTCTCCACCTGCTCTTCTCTCTCTACCTCCTATTTCTAAATGATCTTATCCATAAGGGTGGCTTCAAATACCATCTTTATACCGATGGTTTACAAATCTATCTCTCTGCTAAAGACCTGTCTCCCTTTATCCAAACCCTAACTTCAACCTGTTTCTCTGACGACATCTGGTCATCATTTGGCAACTGAGCATTTCCTCTCCCCTTCTCCATTGGTGTTCTATTACCATTGATAACCTCACCATAGAGGCCTATAATCTGGGCATTATCTTTGACTCACTCAGGCCAGGTCCAATTCTTGTAGCTTCTACCTACTTGACATTTCACAGATCTGGCTTTTTAGTTTTGGTATCCTGGTGTATGTGGGGTGGGTTGGAATGATTTGATAGTATCATTAAAGACAGTATCATGCTCATATGCACAAGGGGGCAGAATTACTGTTTCATTGGCAACCATAAATCTGGCATTTCCTAATGCCAGATTAGGCATTGGGTGGGGGGTGTTTTGGTTGTTAACATGCATTTTTGTAGGTAATTTCTTTTTAAGGAAAAGATTAAAAACAATTTCTAGTATCTACACCTGTAATAACCCTGTCATCATACATCAGCAGAATTTGAACCCTGAGCCAGAGAGTGCTACCACTTCAGATATTGGACTAACTACATTAGTTGCTACCAAGAGAATGCAGTTATCCCAGAAGGGGTGGAATGAGCTACTGGTGCCAGGTGTCGGGTCTAGGGAGTGGGTCACATCTGATAGCTCCCATATGTTCCCAGTGCCATTGCCACTGTTGCTTTGAAAGATACTTACATCTTTCATTTGCATTCCTTGTGGGAAATGGTGATTTTTTTTACAGTCTATGTCTCAGCCAAAACTCAGTGGAATTTCATGGTACAAGTAAAAGACCCATGTCTAGCTCAAGGGCTTGGGCCCTATTGAATTTTGAAGACCTGCTGCAAACAACAGCGGTCTTAGAGCCTCTCAAAAAATAGGTTGCAAGAATCTTTCATAATGAAAAGTGATAGGCAGTCTAAATATAGGAGTTGCTACCTCCCCCTGCAATAACATGGACATAGACTTCCCTTGTTTCAATACAATGAATAGTATCCTTTCAGAGGACATGTCAGTCATACAGTTTGATGTGCAGCATGGAAGAAAGATTCCATTAGGTGGAAAGATGTGAAAATAACAAAGTTTCTTAATCTTACCTAATTTCAGTACATCTTTCTTTGAATTTCATCCTGTTCTGAATAGTGTGTATTGCATAACACTGTGTTTGTACTTTGATAAAGTTATTCTTGAAGTAGTTTGTAAGTAACGGGTTGCTATTTGGTACTCTCTTATGTCAATAACACATCTATTATTTTCTTCTTTAAATTACACTCATTAGTGGCATACTGATAGTCATTCAGCAATCACGGAAGCCTCAAAGTACTTGTCTGAACATCACTTATTCTTCAGACTGGATGATTAACCAAATCCAGATCAACATAGAAACAGCATGCAATTTATATTTTCAGTGACTATATAATTGCTTCTTTTCCTTGTGCTTGCAGGACCATTGAGGTTTCTTTCCCAGACAGAATCTGTCACAGCTTTTGCAGGAGACACAGTGTTGTTAAAGTGTGAAGTAGTTGGAGAGCCTATGCCGATGGTACACTGGCAAAAAAACCTGGAGGACCTGATCCTGAGCCCCAGTGACACCCGAGTGGCTGTCTTGCCCTCTGGAGCTTTACAGATTAGCAGAATCCAAGCGGGAGACAGTGGGATCTATAGATGCCTTGCAAAAAATCCTGCTAGTTCCAGAACTGGAAATGAAGCAGAAGTCAGAGTTTTGACAGGTAAGAACCATATAATTTTACATTGTCCTTATGCTTCCCTAATTATATGTGGCTCAAAAGCTTGTCTTTCACCAACTGAAGTTGGGCCAATAAAATATATTACCTCACCCACCTTGTCACTCCTGATGGGGGCAGATAAGTTTTCTTTCCAGCTGCTTCTGTAGGCTTCCAAGTTCTTTATTTTGAAGAGCCTGGAGACCTTTAGAAGCTTCTGGGTGTGAAGGTGAGCAGCTGGCCTTGTGTGACTAGCCAAATTTCCATAGGCCTTGGTTTGAGAGCTGATGCAATTTTAGTTAAAGGTTTATGTTCCTGTATCTATATCCATATTCATTCCTGTATCCACATCTCGTTCTATGTACCTTTTGGCCTGCCAGGCTTTCCACCACTCCAATAGTCCCGTCTAGCTCCAGCTTCTTTATTTCTAGAAATATTATCATGAATATAATTGAGCAGCAGAAGATTGCTCTGTAGCATGATTCCGTGCCTTGCCTTCTAGTCCTGTGTGTCTAAAGGCAAACACCAGGGAAATTCTATAAGGACATTAACCATCATATTTTTAGAATCTGCTCGGAAAGGCCCTTCTACTGGATGATCAAGTCTAAGGGGAAAAACAATTGAAGACAGTTGGCAGTTTTTCAAAGAGACATTATTAAGGGCACAAGAGCAAACTATCCTACTGAGTAGGAAAGATAGGAAGTATGGCAAGAGACCACTCTGGCTTAACCAGGAGATCTTCAATGATCTAAAACTCAAAAAAGAGTCCTACAAAAAGTGGGAACTCGGTCAAATTATAAAGGATGAATATAAACAAATAACACAAATATGTAGGGACAAAATTAGAAAAGCCAAGGCACAAAAATAGATCAAACTAGCTAGGAACATAAAAAGAAACAAAAAAACAGTCTACAAATACATTAGAAGCAAGAAGACAACCAAGGACAGAGTAGGCCCATTACTCAATGAGGGGGGAAAGACAATAACAGAAAATGTGGAAATGGCAGAGGTGCTTAATGACTTCTTTGTTTCGGTTTTCACCAAGAAGGTTGGTGGTGATTGGACGTCTAACATAGTGAATGCCAGTGAAAACGAGGTAGGATCAGAGTCTAAAATAGGGAAAGAACAAGTCAAAAATTACTTAGACAAGTTAGATGTCTTCAAATCACCAGGGCCTGATGAAATGCATCCTAGAATACTCAAGGAGCTGACTGAGGTGATATCTGAGCCATTAGCAATTCTCTTTGAAAAGTCATGGAAGATGGGAGACATTCCAGAAGACTGGAAAAGGGCAAATATAAAAGGGCCCATCTATAAAAAAGGAAATAAGGACAACTCGGTGAATTACAGACCAGTCAGCTTAACTTCTATATCCAGAAAGATAATGGAGCAAATAATTAAGCAATCAATTTGCAAACACCTAGAAGATGATAAGGTGATAAATAACAGTCAGCATGGATTTGTCAAGAACAAATCATGTCAAACCAACCTGATAGCTTTCTTTGACAGGGTAACAAGCCTTGTGGATAGGGGGGAAGCGGTAGATATGGTATATCTTGACTTTAGTAAGGCTTTTGATACTGTCTCGCATGACCTTCTCATAAACAAATTAGGGAAATGCATCCTAGATGGAGCTTCTATAAGGTGGGTGCATAACTGGTTGGAAAATCGTTCCCAGAGAGTAGTTATCAGTGGGTCACAGTCGTGCTGGAAGGGGTCCCACAGAGATTGGTTCTGAGTCTGGTTCTGTTCAATATCTTCATCAAATGATTTAGATAATGGCATAGAGAGTATAGTTATAAAGTTTGCAGATGATACCAAGCTGGGAAGGGTTGCAAGTGCTTTGGAGGATAGTATTAAAATTCAAAATGATCTGGACAAACTGGAGAAATGGTCTGAAGTAAACAGGATGAAATTCAATAAGGACAAATGCAAAGTATTCAACTTAGGAAGAAACAATCAGTTGCACACATACAAAATGGGAAATGACTGCCTAGGAAGGAGTACTGTGGAAAGGGATCTGGGGGTCATAGTGTATCACAAGCAAAATATGAGTCAACAGTGTAACGCTGTTGCAAAAAAAAGGAAACTCATTCTGGGATGTATTAGTAGGAATGCTGTAAGTAAGACACAAGAAGTATTTCTTCCACTCTAGTCCGCGCTGATTAGGCCTCAACTGGAGTATTTTGTCCCATTCTGGGCACCACATTTCAGGAAAGATGTGGACAAATTGGAGAGAGTCCAGAGAAGAGCAATAAAAATGATTAAAGGTCTAGAAAACATGACCTGTGAGGGAAGATTGAAAAAAAACTGGGTTTGTTTAGTCTGGAGAAGAGAAAACTGAGAGGGGACATGATAACCGTTTTCGACTAATAAAAGGTTGTTACAAGGAGGAGGGAGAAAAATTGTTGTTCTTAACCTCTGAGGATAGGACAAGAAGCAGTGGGCTTAAATTGCAGCAAGGGAGGTTTAGGTTGGACATTAGGAAAAACTTCCTAACTGTCAGAGAGGTTAAGCGCTGGAATAAATTGCCTAGGGAGGGGGATTTTTAAGAGCACGTTGGACAAACACCTGTCATGGATAGTCTAGATAATATTTAGTCCTGCCTTGAGTGCAGGGGACTGGACTAGATGACCGCTCGAGGTCCCTTCCAGTTCTATGAATCTATGATTCTATCAGAAGCATATGTGACTTCTAGTTAAGCCAAAGGGCACAGTGCAGGTCTCTCGGACTGCTGGGGTGAAATCCAGACTCCACTGAAGCCACTTGGAGTATTGCAACTGAGTTCAGCAGAGCCAGGATTTTACCCCTGAACTATTAGAATGAATCTGTCCATGTGGGGATCTCTTATAGGGACATGGCTCACAGAGTTCTGTTTATTCTCCCTTTTGGGGAGTGGTAGATGGCTCTGGGAACCATTGATTTGATGGGCAGAGCCAATGGGATTTGTGAGATTCAAACATTCTCTGTATTTTAGATTCTGATGCCAGGGCAAAACCCATGGGACAGACTGGGATTATAGCTCCCAAATTCAACTCCTCTGGATGCATTACAGACTGCTTGCAGCTTGGGGGCAGAACTAAACCCATCATTTGCTGGTAGCAAGGTAATACCCCACCTCCTGAAGTTCCCTGCAGTTTTTTTCTGCCTCCTCAGTGGTTGCAGCCCTCCCAGCGGCTGAGCTTTTCATAGGGAAATTTCAAACTCCATTTCAAATTCTTAGACGAACAATTCTTCTCAATAATTTGCCTTTTGGGGAGATTGTATCCTCAGCTCTGCTTCCTCTTCTGAGGCATGGGCAGTCACTGGTGCTCTGAAGGCTTCAGGGAGAGAGCTAGGCTGAGAGAAGTAAGAGGCAAAAGGAGGAGACTGTGTCCCCTCCCCTCTACGCCCTCCCCATGAGCGTCTTGTTGAGACATTGAGCCAATTCTGTGGGCAGTCTCTCTCCCAACTCAGACCAGATGGGGTTACCTAGATACCCTTCCCCCTGGCAGGAAAGGGGGCAGGCAGGATTGGAAAAGAACAGACTCCAGAGCAAGCAGCCCCACAATCTCCACAATGGGAGTGAAGCCAAAAAGGCAGCACCCCGGAGTGGTTGCACCTGGGTCCCTGCCATGCTTCACACTATGGAGCACAGCCACCTCTTCCCCGTCTGCTTCCCCACGAGTTGTGAATGGAGGGCACTGGGCACAGTACGGACACTGCAAATGGCAGTAAGGAGTCTTCATGTCCAGCTCCCTTCCCTTGCTGTGACCTCAGCCCCCTACTGATATACCAGGATTAGGAACTTCAGGAAAGAAAAATACCTATCTAGCTCTTGTGGATCCCATGCAACAGAGGGTTGTGATTCTGGGGACTTGAGACCCAGAATCCCAGACCCATACTTGAGACCCAGAAAGGGCCTATTTGGGAGAGGGACACAAATAGTTCCAGCCTCTTTTAGGACAGGGAGAGGGCTCTGAAAATATTTCAAGTGGCTTACAATCTCTGAACCCAATTTCATTTCCACATCTAAAGCAGGATTATGGGGACAAGCTCCCATAAATAACTGAATAATAAAATCAGCTCTGTTTCCTCTGCTCTCCTCCCTGGAATGCAGCAGGGCAACTGATCCTCAGCACCTGGTTCCCTGGCTCATTGATTCCTGGTGGATCAATACAGAAAAGAATAGGCCATAAACATACTGATTCCTCTAGGCATGCATGCATGCCCCTCACCACAAATAGAATTGTTCCTCCTTAGGGCAGGAAGGCCAGTGGTCAAAATCAGCATTAGATAATCAAATATTTACAATATATCTAAAATACTCTACACATAGTGGCGTTAGGGAAGAAGGAAATTTACTTACCTCTTTCTGAACAATTTTTCTGATCACAGTTCTCTACAGAGAAAGCTGACGCAAACACACAAAGTTACATATTTCCTGGAATATCTTGGATTTAGGACAGACGCAGACATATGATGCCTGGGAAGTCAATTATAGGTCTGAGTTGAGAATGAATACTATCAGATATAAGGTTTTATCTCAGAAAAATGTGCACAAATATGAAGATGGCCATAATGTAATACAAGTAGTATCACTGAGATGGAAATCCAGTTCATATTGGAGCCTATTGGGAATTCTAAACTCATACACAGGCATGATTCAATGATCCAGATTTTATATGATACCTATTCAGTAATTCCACATAACCCATCTACATCTCACTCGATTTCATCTGTTGGCAGAAATCTAGCTCCAGTTATATATTCTCTGCTTCTACAACAGCTAATTTTGTGCCAATATTTAAAAAGGGTAAACAGAGTGACCGGGTAATTATAGACCTGTCAGTGTGACATAGATCCCAGGCAAGATAATGGAGTGGCTGATATGGAACCTGATGAATAAAGGGGTAGTAATTAATGCCAATCAATATGGGATTTTGGAAAATAGATCCTCTCAAACGAACTTGATTTCCTTTTTTTTTTATTAGATTACCAGTTTGGCTGATAAAAGTTAATAATGT